ATTATTTTGCAGGAGGGATGTTTCAAAAAGCATAAAGTGAATTTGTTGAACAAAATCGGGATGTTTTGAACGAATTATATGATTTTTTTTTACATAAAAGGTATTTATGAATGGGAATAAATATGTGCTCCGTCGGTATTTATCACTCTGTTTAATACCACTTAGAGTCTGGGTGCTGATAATTACCCTCGCCTCCGGCTCGGGTAATTATCAGCACCCAGACTCTAAGTGGTATTAAACAGAGTGATAAAAACCTCCGGAGCACACATTTATTCCCTTATTAATTAGTTCTGGTAATGAAACCAAGCATTCGTCAAATGCGCCGTAGGCACTGTAGCTCACAAGCCTGAAGAAACCCGTAGAGAGAAGACAATGAGAAGAAAGTACAGTTTTAGAGGTGGGAGGAAAACCTCAGAAGAATATTCTGGGGAAAACCCACGGAATCAGGCAGGGACTGAAAACCCAATCCACATATTGGCCCAGGCGGGATTTGAACCCGGGTCAAAGCAGTGGAAGGTGAGGAAAGACACTTCTCTAAGTGGGTTTCCCACTTACCTTCAGACACTAATACACTATCCACTTTCATTGGATATCGGACATCAAGTCCGCGAGACTGTTCGCGAGACTGTAGCAAATCGGTCAATAGGGTATTTTTTTACGGGATTGCTATCCTGAACCAATTATCTCTTTGCTTAGGAGCTAAATTACCCAACCCTCATAAACCCCCCGTCTAGAAAAAGTTCACTAAACTCAGACATGGCTGTTTTCTTTTGAGACACATTTCTCCATTTATGTCGCACTGGGATAACACAAACTACCACATGTTGCACCTTCTTCAAACTATTACTCCATTGTGTCCAAGAAGAAAAAGAATCCTTCACTATAGCTTCTTGACTTTTATAATGCTTGATTTCAAATGAAGATTGAGGCCTAAATCTGTCAACTTGTATAAACCTGGACAAAGAATTGCTCTTTCGGTCGGCTGGTCAGAGCTCACGTGTTGTAGAGCATGCCGCGCACTGCATGCTGTGTCACTGACTAACTCAGTTGCGAAACAAAACTTCTTGAAAACAGAGAGGATTTCTTTGTTGCAAGATGAGAAAGTGTTTTTTTATTTGACTCGCTGGCGTAGCTCACGTGTCGTAGACCATGCCGCGCACTGCATGCTGTGTCACTTCAGGACCGTAACTCAGTTGCAAAACAAAACTTCTTGGAAACAGAGAGGACACTTTGATTTCTTTGTTGCAAGATGAGAAAGTGTTTTTTTATTTGACTCGCTGGCGTAGCTCATCTGTTTCTTGGTGTGAGAACCTCTGGATGTGACAAGGGGGAAAAAACCCACAAATTGTGTGGTTTATTAAGTTTCTTGATGAGGCAACTTCAAAGATGAGAATGCAGGAGACAGTAAGAGTGGGGCTGAGGCGGGTAAGATCTTTACGATACCGTCGTGGAAGCTCCGGGGGTGAGGTAAGTTGGAGGAGATTAATGTTGAGAAGACCTGTCAACAACTTGTGGATCTGTAAACTTGCAGCATTGGCTCAAAAGTGGTGCTCAAATGCCAGAGATGAGGAAACGCCAATCTTTCCTGGTTTGATTCTGCGTACTTACAGCAATTATCCATACTCAAAATTTTAGAAGGATTATTTTAGGAGGCTTCTGGAAAGATGATGATTTGGGATGAGGACCCATTGAGAGGCGTCGTGCATAGATGGGTGCAGTGCATGTTTGCATATCTTTATTGTCTTGTATAATTCGCTGGGAGTGGTTTGCTCGATGATTTTTATGCAAAAATGCCAGGCCACTTGTGTGTATGTCACATCCTGGACAAAAAAGGGATCTTGGCTGTTTGCAGACATGCATACAATTTGAGTGTTTAAATTGCATTACAAAATCTCACAAGTAATTTCAACAATAGAATGACAGTTTAATTCATTTTAAAAAGGACTCCTTTTTCTTCAATATTTTTTCCAACATTTTTTTGTCTTTGTATAGTAGGGAACAGCAGGCCTGGTTATTAAAGTTGTTCATGTTTTTCCAAGTATCCTCAAAAGGTTCATTTTTCTTAATATTTTTTTTAAAACAATTCCAGCGATACAACAGAACATTTGAATGGGACATTCAACAAAAACAATATCCATGTTTAGTTTATATGGAAAAATTACTTCAACAGATTTCAAAATATTTGCTGCCAACCAATACATGTATGTACATAATGTACAGGTCAGATTACAGATTTGTTTGTGCATTAAAGATGCTACTTTAGCAGCCCAGAATAACAGCTTGTATGCAGATGACCAAAATAGAGAAGAAAAATATTTTTAAAAGAATAAAATATAAACAAATAACAAAATGGTTGGAAGAAACAAAAAATCTAATTTTTGAAAGAGCATGGACTATATAGACAGTACCGGATAGTACAAAGAGCAAATAACAACAGTGTAGTTTGCATAAAGGCCCCTAATTTACAACTCCCCTCCTTGCTCTCCCCCCCCCCCCAATCTGCACCCATGTTTCCTAAGAAAACCAATACCCCAGACCATTGACTGCAGAACCTACACCTATCTAAAGCTAACAGACGAACCGTTTTGAGGAAACCTCAAGCACCCTTGAGTTTCTCAATGGTAACCAGATAAGGGGGTATTGTAACCCCGGCTCTGGCTGCGCAGCCTCAGCGTGCTAACCCTTCACCAATGTTGACTCTGGTCTTAGTAACGCAACCCAAAATTTATCCTTATTTATGAGTGCATCAATGGGTTCGGAAGCTTCTGGTTTTACCTCCTGGATGGCAATATATCACTTATTAAAACCAATACATTTGGTTTCCTAACATAAACCAAGCTACCGGTACTTATATGTTTATACCGGTATTTCAAAGATTTGAGTCTTTGTAATAAATTCAACTTCAAACATTATTCAGAGGAATTTTTTTTCTGCTTTGATTCCATTGAGAATTCATGTACAGAACACAAACTTGAGCATTGATGTATTTTCGTGATGTTAAAATAACCAAAGTTAATCCTTGTATTCTTTGTACATATACATGTATGTACATTTTGTGTGGATTGGGTTTTCAGACCCTACCTGATTCCGTGGGTTTTCCTATAGAATTTCATTCTGGGGTTTTCCTCCCACCACTAAATTGTAATTTCTTTCCACATCTTCTACCAAGGGACCCCACTGGAAATAAGTCAAAAGACTTTTGCATGGGCTATTCCGGCCAACTTAAATCTAGTGTTGGGTTGAGAATGTTTAATGCAATTTGAATAATTATTTTCCTAAATTTGTTCACGATAAGTAAAATGTTTTGTCAGGTTTTTAGCCAAGTATAAATCATCTAGGATCCAGTCCAACATGATTTTTTTTTTGCTATCAAGGAATTTTTTTGCATAAAATCGACCATCATGTTTAAAACCAAAATTGAGACATGGTTTAAAAATGATTTGAGATGGTTGAAATGATCCTGTTAGGAGCAGAATAATAAATCATTGTTAATGTGACAGTGTTCAAGTTTAAGACTCAGGAACATTTCCAGAAATAAACTGTGACCAGGTCCTGGAAAATGAGTTTTTAGAAACATTTGTCTACTTTTTAGTTTTTAGAGTGTTTTGCATAACTGTCAAGGGACTTTACCCAGCTAAAAAAGGAATCGGATCAATAAATAGGCATTAACAAAAAAGATACCGTCCGAATTTTTTTTTTTATTTTTACGATTAAAATAATACCACATTTTTGTGTGCATATTTTTAATGTGCATACTTTTTTCTTTTCGAATATATTCAAACCGGCAAAAAGCTAATCAAATATATTTGGCTGATGATCAAATATTCCAATATTTGGTATACTCGGGACAGAATCACAATGCATTGGTTGATTTCTAAAACTATACAAGGTCTACACCAAGGTTAAAGGGAATATACAACATTTGCAAACATTGGAAAACAAAACTACCAAATTTTTACGAAATAGCTTACTAGGATGTTGGTAAATGAAAGTCTGAAGCATCCTGTAAAATTATGGCACCTGGTGTGAAGTCATTTCCAAGAAAAGTGATATTTTGTATAAATTTCCAATGGTGGTCGGCCGACCACCGTTGGAAAAACCTAACTATTTTTCAACTACTGCTCCAAATTTACCCTTTTTTCAGTCCAAATTTTGTTTGCTATTGGTTCCATGTTCATAAACGGGTGCAGACCAGCTAGATTGGTTTCCTTACCTTACAATTTTCCGGCATCTATAAATTGATGCATTTTATCTTAAGTGGAGTCAGGGAACCAGACTACTTGAACATTTTTGTTTTTCCTGGTTTTTCCAGCATTTTCGAACACAAATCTTCAAACTTGTCAGTGTAACAATATTTGATCTATTATACTTACCCCTCAAATAGTTCATTTCTGTAAATTACAGCAAAAGCCAATGATGTACATTCCCTAAAAGTATCTTCCAAGACATACTTTTTTACCACTTTTTAGAGCCCAGTGGACGGGGCACAACGCATGGGTCAACAGGTTCGCATGCGTTTAGATACAAATTCGGACAATTATTTTAATTCTAAATGTGCACAAAGCCATAGCATCATTGCGTGAGCGTCAGGCATAGTCGACGGTGCGTTACCATGGCCCAATTTCACAGCGCTGCTTAGCACAAAAATTTGCTTAGCACAAAAATAGTCTGGCTTGTAAAAGCAGGTAACCAGCCAAAACTCCACGTGATGTATATTGCTCGTGATCAGTATTCAGCTGTTGTTTGCTTAGCATGAAAATCACATGGAGTTTTGGCTGGTAACCTACTTTTATAAACCAGTTTTTTTTTGTGCTAAGCAAATTTTTGTGCTTAGCAGCGCCATGAAATTGGCCCCATGTCTCTCCCGATAGTCCCCCCCAACTCTCCCATTCTTGCCAGTGAGGGGGTACTTGTGCACGGAGCCCATAATCTGATTAAAAGAGAGTCTGATTTTTAAGAGTTATAACCACACTTCGATCCTCTTTAATTGTGTCCTGCAGTTAACGGGCCAGCCTGGTATGAAGATCAAAGACCTAGTCGCTGATGTAACCATGGAATACCAGATACCCAGACACAGGCTGCGCAGGGCCTCCACCCTGGGCATTGTGCGGGACGACGCAAGGCTATCAACGCTGGCCAGGCAGGAGATCATCATTGAGTCGCGCTGCGTGGAGGAAACCGAGGAAGGTCGGTTCCTATTTATTGAATTGTTACAGTTGACTGATTGATGCTCAAAAGATAGGAGTGATGATGATGCTAGTAATCCATTGATTCGTTGGCTGGGTGGATGATCATGCTGGGTTTTTAAATGGGTTTAAAAGTTTTTTTTACGGAGAAGGTTTGATGGTTTATATGTTGGTGCTGTACTTTCGTTACTGATGAATCATTGATTATTGATAAAGGATGATCGATTTGTGGGAAATTGATTAGTATTTATAAATAAAGAATATTCTTTTTGTGTACTGGTAGAAGTTGGAGGGCTTACTGTTCTCAACCTTTTAGAAAGATTCTGCAATTACTAAAATGTCAGACTCCTCTGATTTTTTATTTGTGTATTGATCTGTGTTTTTACCAACACAGTTAAAGAATTTATTAATTCTTTCAAAACGTACAAATACTTTAATTTGAACACGCATGCGTTTGTGTAACATCTATTTTTTACCAACTATTTTTGCCCCTAAAAGGTCCCCAAACCACAGTTTGAAAATCTCCATATTACCGGTACATACATGTATGCCTACCGGTAGTTTCTACAACTCTCATTTCATGCCGCCGCGCAATGTAACCTAATTGAATTCAAGATCCCGGAACTACAATTTAGATTTTGTTTTTAAATACCCACTTTTCACATTTTGAAAGTGTTCTTATCGTTGTGGCTTTGCACATGTCAGGCCACTTAGCGCAGTCGGCAGTGTATGCCAGCCTTTTACTTCTCAATTTCTTGGAGAATTTGATCTGATTTGTAATGGTTTACTTTATTGCTTTATCCTTATTGCGTTTGGCTGTAAAGTTTGATAACTTTTGTTGTACCTAGATGCTGATAAGCGATTGGCTGTTCTGAATGAGTTCATCTCAACAGAGAGAGCGTACTGTAATTTACTGCAGTCCATCTTCACAACCTACAAGGAGCCTTTGAGGTATCTGTTCAATTTATTTCCTGATCAAGGACTTTAAAGCTATAGTCCATCATTTGTAATTAGTACATTTTGTTCGTTTGAAGCAACAAAAGTGTTCAAAATCTAATGAAGGATACTGAACAACTTACTTGATGAAGTTTCAGCTCAGCTTCAGCTTCATATTCCGAGAAAAACAGCATTCTAGGATCTCAATTTAAAATCAAAAGTTGCTAAATCATGTTTCGAATTGTTTTAAATTGCAGCTTTACGCGATGTTGCGCACTGATCCGACGAATTATAGCAACCGCGCGCGCGTGTGCGTCGTTCCAATGCTAGCGCACGCTGCGCCGAATAACAAAACGAACAACTAATTTAAATTTTCCTACGGTGCTTCTTAAGAAGCACTGTTGGAAATGCCTTCTTTCGTTGATTTCTTCAAAATGAGAGCTTGCCAGAAAGGATAATTTCAAAGGGAGTTTAGTCCCCTTACTATCTTTCAATCAGTATGTTTTTCAACAATAATTACGCCGGTTACTTTTTTTGATAGCTGCAAATGATGGACTCTGGCTTTAATGGAGGATAAAATCCTGGAAACTGTAAACTTTTTAGGAGATACTGATCAAAGAAAAGTGACAGTAATGTAATGTGTAATGTATCTTTTCTCTTCCACAACATGTACAGTACATGTGCATGTATATGAAAATGTTTTCTCTTTGTTTTTTGGCATCTCCCCCCTCAAAAAACAAATTCAACTCGGGCCCTGAAAATGTGTATACAAGAGTTCTGCACCTGCACAGTTAGTCCAGGAGAAGTGAATTGCGCCCTCTGTTGACAATTTTAATCATCCAAACCCCTTCAGCACTGTTTCATATAAGTTGCAGAACTTTATCGGTAGTACACTAACAAAAAAGCCTATAGATACGGTAGTTGGTATGAAATAACATGTATGGTACCTCACTTATTAATTAATACAACTAAATTTTACCAAAGTTGGGGGAGCATTCAGAATATCAAAAGTATACATTTGGCTAGAAGTTGAGCGAGATTTACCAACATATTTTTTCATTTAATTGGTGATAACAGAGTTTTGAGGTTGATGTGAAATAAAAAAATTGGAATGTTTTGTCCTTTTTTTATCCTCCAGAAAATCGCCATCGATGCCCAAATCTGATCACACTCGCATATTTTCTAATGTGAAACAAATGGTGACAGTGAGCGTCACCTTTCTGACAAAGGTAAGACAGTGAGGAAAAGAGGTGTCTGGAATCCCACCATGGATCCCTAACTATTAATATGATTAATCAATTATATATGGTTTTGTGGGGTTTTGGTCCAATGTTTGCAGTGTGTGACTCGGGCTGAGGTACGTGGGTTCGAACCCTGACGGGAAAAATGGTGCTTGTGTTCTTGGGCAAGGCACTTTACTACAATAGCCTCTCTCCTTCCAGGAGTATAAATGGGTGCCTTGAAAGGTTGAGACCAAATTGCGCTGATCTCGAGCTGCTGCAGAAAAAAATGGTCTCTTTCCTGTTGAACAGGGATAATAGTTGTAAAGCGCTTAGAAACATTAGTAGGTACCGTATAACACACTATAAACATACATGTATAAGCAACACATTATTATATTTTATTAGTATTTTTTGTGTGTGAACAAGAGAGGGCGCACTTTAACCACTTTAGAGAGCCCAGTGGACAGTACACCCCGTGTGTGATGTACTGGTACACACAACTTGTTTTACTAGGGATGTGCACAAATTTGTGTCATGTTTGTGTTTCATTGGTTTGTCTGGGTTTTTTTTTATTCTTTGAAATTTTTTTTTTTTACAGTTTTGCATTTCAGAACAGCACACAACTATATAAAACAGCTTTTTAAAATCATGCCTCCATCTTAATATACCTACTTTTTGTTCTCATGATGGCTTTTACTGTGCTTTGTAAATGTCATTGAAATTGGATTGAAAAAAAAATGAAGGCTGTATTATAGACACATAAACCAATGCAAACAGGTTTTGTGTTTTGCACCCTGGAACCCCCGTGACTTTTAGGCAGCAAGATGTTGCAAACATATTAGTAAATATTGTTGCCACTGATTGAGAATATTGGCAGACATATCATTTTTACTCCAGCCAAAAGTCATATCTGGTAATTCATTTCCCTTGCACTGACTTTATAAAAAAATATTCCACAATCTTGTAACTTCACTGAACTGAACCTGTGCCGTAAACTTTTGAACTTTTATTAACAATGCTGTCTGAGGCAAAAAAGAAGAAGAATAGTTGAGCATTTTGTGAAAGGTAGCACGCGAATGGAATGCCTTAATCCGCCAATATCGACACGCATGTTGAACCCCGTTGACTTATCTCACACTTTACAGTGAGCTAGAGTGCATGCATTTCATAAATTGACAAGCATTGAAGCTTGTCATGGACAATCAATCAGTTTTGGTGTTACATGAAAGAATGCATTCCAACCAAAAATATCGGACAAAAAAAATGATTATTTTTTTTGGCAGTAATCATGAAAGCAAAATCCAAAAGTTCAGGGTTCTGTCACTGAAAAGTTGGACAAAAAGTTTTGTTAGAAAGGCAGTTTGATTGATAACTTCCATGATTGCTGAACGTGCTGCACACAAGTGCAAGCCAGACAAGAATGAGAAGACAGGCAGAAAAGAAATGAAAAAAAATATCTTTACCGAAAAGTAATACCAGGGAATCTGGGTCCAATCTTTCATCCAAATCATCAGGTCAACCTCTTGATGCATGAGAGTGTTAGGCTTGTTTGACGTTTTCCAGAGAACATTTGTCATACATACTGTATGTACCCTTGCACCCCCCAGTTTTTTTTCCATGGCCGGAAATGTGCATAACTTTTTTTTTCACCTTTTAACCAGTTGGCGGCAGGATTATTTTTGCTGAAAATTCTCATTTTCCAAAAAGGCAAGATATAGCAGCCAACTTTTGATGGGTGCTGATAATTACCCTCGCCTCCGGCTCGGGTAATTATCAGCACCCAGGCTCTAAGTGGTCTTAAACCCAGTGATAAAAACCTCCGGAGCACACATTTATTCCCTTATGAAAGGTATCAGTTCTCAGTGATGTTCCAGTAAATTTGTGGAAAACATTGAAAAATATGACGGAAATCAAACCTGCATGTGAAAGGAACCTCATATAGTGAAGGACATCATCCTTCATTTTCCAAACTGGAAATAAATAAAAAATAAATAACTAAATAATGAATATGTGTCAGGGGAACAAACTTGTTAATGTATTATAAGATGGAATTTTGCGTCGGGGTGATATAAATCAAATTAGGTTTTGCCCTTCACCGACGTTTTTAAACACTGTATACTCAGTGTGTTACCTCCCGTATGAAAGTTGGAAAAAATCACTTGGGTGGGACTCGAACCCACGACCTTCTACTCTCTAGTGCAGATGTCTTACCACTCGACCACTGGTGGTTAGCTCGGTGGTCGAGTGGTGCACTAGAAAGCAGGAGGTCGTGGGTTCGAGTCCCACCCGAGTGATTTTTTTTTTCAAACTTTCACTCGGAAGGTAACACACTGAGTATCCAGTGTTTAAAAACGTCGGTGAAGGGCAAAACCTAATTTGATTGTTAGTGTATTCTTTCTTCATTTTTTACATTAGTCACAAACTGATGTTTTGGAGAATTATAAAATACCGGTACAAGTTATCCCTCAAAATGTGCACTCCTTTTCAAAGCCCAGGAGTATGTGTACTCCCATCCAATCTCATGCTTCCGTGCAGTTACAGTGATCCTTGAGGGAGGTCGGCATTCCTTTGCAAATCAACCTCAACCATTCAACTCCTCAGCTTAGAAGATCTGTCTCATGAAGTCCTCATCTTTATCTTCCAAAGGGACTTCAATATTTTTACTTCTCTGTCATTTTTTTTTACCTACCATACATGTATCTCATCAGTTGTTAAACTCTGGTGAAAAATCTGAATCAGTTTAAACCAGCCTCCACTAGGCCGAGTAAAAAAAAAAAAAGTTTCTCGTCCGGGGTTTTTGAAAAAAGGGAGGAAGCAGGGCTTTTTATTTTTTTATTTTTTTTTTTCAAGATGACCGCCTTTTCAAAATTTTCTGCAACCGTTGGTGTTCCACTGTTCAAAGACACTTTTAAAGATGAAAGACAAGTTGGACAAGAGAACTGAACATATTTACAGTGTCATTTAGAGTTGTATTGGTATTGGTATTTATTTTCCGATGAATTTGTAGACTTTTTCGGTGAGTTTCTACTACATTTTTCAAAAATAAAAAATAATAAAAAAATCCAGGCGGCCTCCAAAAAGGAACTTGGTTTTTTTTTTTTTTACTTCGCCTTACAGTAGAATTGTTATTCATCCAGGGTCTCTGGATCACATTTATCTGTCAAATTTTCCCTGGAGCAATTTTTTTTTTTTTATAGAAATCTCTTTATAAAGGCAAAGGGTGAACCCATATAATATTTTTAGAAATCTCTTGTTGGAACCAGAGTTGACCTAGTGCTCGATTCTTGGAGACTTGCCCGGGCGCTGATGGTTTTATGCAGTATTTACACCAGAGGGCAATGATTTGTGCCATGTTTGAGAACAAACACTGACAACTTGTATGTCTCTTATTTAACAAGGAGATAATTTTGCTTCATGCAACTCGGCATTGAGAAACTATGTACACATTTTACAAGAAAATAAACCATATCATAATTGTTTTTTTCCAAAGCCAGATTTTGAAAAGGAAGAAACATTATCTTATAAGTTTCCTGTAGGTACAGCCCAGTTGTATTTATTTGTTGTTTAAAGTACAATTTATGTGATTGGTAATGGCATTATTGTCACTCTGTACTTTACAATTTGTGCAGAAACTGTGTATAAAGTACGGTAATTAATCGTTAAGTACTTTTTTTTACAAAAGTATTCAGAGCCAGAAAGTCAAAAACACATAATGTCTGTATACTGACAAAATAAGCAAAATATCGTTTGATTTTTGAAATACATGTATTCCCAAACATAACAACTTTAAACAGAATTTTAACAATTTGATATTTGAACCTATCCCACATATCTTTTCCATGTATCCCCCATTTTAAACAGTTGTCAATGTTACCCATACAGGTAACGAAAAATGGTGCAGAAGTTCACACCTGACTAATGGCCTTTACCAATACATGTACCTGTTTTGTGCAAGCATAGAATTTTTGTCAATTGTTTGACACAATAGGACCCATCAAAACCAGACAGCCAAATTGAAATGGACATTGAACAAACCAGACAAGCCCCAAATATTTCTGTCCTGTGGCAAGTTCTCAGACTCCCCTTTTTTTGAAAACTGAGAAGTTTACAAATGATTTGAAGAGGTCTTGTAAATCTTAATCTCTAGGTGAGGTAAACAAAGTGCCAATTTGATACCTGTTAACCTCCAGTAAACCAAAGGGGTGGGTCTAAGGTTGACCCACTGCTAACAGAAACGTCAGAGAACCCATCCGTGCGTGTGTATTGTTTCATTACATTACACTAATACCTGTTTCAGACTGGCTTTTGATTCCAGAGTCGCAATGAACCAAGAATTATTTAGAGTGACTCAAGTCAACAATAGACAGGTTCCAGACAGGTGAACTTTATGTACTATTTTTCAATCGACTGGACACCGGAGTCATTTTGAACGACTGCAACTGTCAGTCATTAGCGTGTATTCCCTCCCATTTGTTTCAAACATTTAACTTAATTCTAATCTTTGGAAGAATTTAATTCAATGCAATTAACCTATCACGGTAGAATCGCGTCAACGCAGCTTGTGAAATTTTGTCCAATCACATGATATACAAATGGACGCGGAACACGCAAAGTCTGAGACAAACTAAACTCAACGTACAAAGTTCCATAGGGTCGTCTAAGGGGCGTGGTTAGCTCGCAAACGGCGAGAGGTCAATTTGGAAAACCATACCGATTGGGAAAATGAATTTGGAAAATGCATGTAATAGGTTGATGGTTTGATGCTAGCTTCTTTGCATTCATACGTGGTTGTCTCTTCCTGTAAGGTTCAACAACAAAAAATCGAACCCCCCTCCCCCACAAAAAAAAAAAAAATGGCTGGGGAAGGAATTGAGCCTCTGTCCTCCAGAGCACTGCACTTGGGCTCTGCTAACATGTTTGCTTATTTGGTTTTGGTCTCTTTTGGGGACGGTCACTAAATTAACCTTCCCCCTTGCTTGAAATGTTGTCATCAACAAAGACAATAAGTTGCCAGATCATCTCTTTTGTTTAAGGTTTATATATGCCAACTTGTGTTGACTTAAAACATACATGTACATGGCAGCTTCTGGAAGAGCGGAGTCACTTCCAAATACCTTTAGGTATACAAAGGCTATTGTAAAAGAGGGCGAAAAAAAAGCCATACAGAGAAAGCATTCTATTTTCTCCATCAAGGAGTCACATTAGAGCTCACAATCTTCTCCTGGATCCCGCTGAGATTGAGCAAAGAGAAGCCCAGCGAGTACTGTTGGGAAAAGCTCAGTCATGAAAGCATTACATTCCTATGTAAAAACTAATGTTGACAAACCCTTTGAATGTACTATTTTCCCCTCAAGAGTAAGTAATGACGCAGCTTGAAAGTTTCTTTGTGAGTTACACAGGCACACTATAGCAAGTTCATTGACACTGTCATAGACAAGGCACGCAGTGATACCTGACTCGTGTGGGTAAATATTGCGGCTGGTCTTAATGTACCCTTGATCAGTACTGTGGACAGATTGGTTCAAGTGCAAGTCCAATAAGAACAGGAAAGGCTTGGTGGTAATGCTTTCATTCACAAGAATGGCCGAGAGATAGAGCTGTACTATGTGCATAGGGTCAGTGCATGTAAATAAAAACATCCGGTTGGACATTTTGCGTATTTAAAGCTACAGTCCATCATTTGTAATTTTTGCATTTTGTTCGTTTGAAGCAACAAAAGAGTTCAAAATCTAATGAAGGATACTGAACAACTAACCTGATGAAGTTTCAGCTAAGCTTCAGCTGTACATTTCGAGAAAAACAGCATTCTAAGATCTCAATTTCAAATCAAAAGTTACTGAATCATGTTTTGAATTGTTTTAAATTGCAGCTATATGCGACGTCGTGCACTGATCCGACGAATTATAACAACCACGAGCGCGTGTGCATCGTTCCAATACTTGTGCGCGCTGCGCTGAATAACAAAACGAACTACTGATTTAAATTTTCCTACGGTGCTTCTTAAGAATCACCGTTGGAAATGCCTTCTTTCGTTGATTACTTCAAAATGACAGCTTCCCAGAAAGAATAATTTCACAGGGAGTTTAGTTCCCTTACTATCTTTCAACCAAGTTTGTTTTTCAACAATAATTATGCCAGTTACTTTTCGGATGGCTGCAAATGATGGACTCTAGCTTTAAACATACATGTACGACATCACAGTTTATAATTGTATTTCTAAATTGCCTGAATTTGCATTCCTAAAAATCAATGAGTTGATAGTAAAGTCTCCCTTAGGAGAAAAGAATGTGGCTCGCTTGAAGTGATTTCAGTAAACTGTAGAAAATTTCCTTTTCTTTTTTTTTATGGCTGAGTTTTATTGGTGAAGTGCATATTATATACATTGCCATTGAAATGTATTTGTATACAAAATAGCTAATCCTTTGGGACTTTTGCTGTGCATATTTTGAAAATTTCATATGTTTGAAAAAAAGAAAGAAGAAGCAAAATTCTTCTAAATGTCGTGTTTATTCACAAGATGTCCACAAATTTATACAGATGAATAAGACTGGTCAAGTTTTTCTCTCTCTGTTTTGCATTTGCATGTAGTTGGAAGAAGTTGCAAGTTCCTGGGATCCCAACACATCCACAATCGGTGAGTTCATAAAAAAACAATGTAAATATCTCTGATCTCCAAAAAATTATGAATATCTGCAATCTTCAAAAAGGAAATTTCAAAACGTTTAAAAAAAACCAATACCAGGAGTCCCCTCTGTGTTGGGCAACAGCAAAATCCTCCTTTCACTTTGTAACTTTCCTCTTTCAATTTCATAACTAAAAAAAAAATTATCTTGCCTGTCGGAGACTGTTGTGCAATCAAATTGTACATCATCTTTTCTTATATAAGTGTACTTGTTCTCCTGTGTCAATCTTACAGGTGATTTGTTCGATGAGGAATTCTTGGAGGAGTTCAAGGAGTACTACGCCCATTTCAGGGTGATGCGCCTGTAAGTTTAATTGAAGGAACTGTTATTAAAGGGAATGTACATCATTGGCTGTTGCTGTTATTTTTAAAAATGAACTATTTGAGGGGTTGGTATAATATATCAAATATTGTTACACCGACATGTTTGAAGTTTTGTGTTCGAAAATGCTGGAAAAGCCAAGAAAAACAAAAACGTTCAAAAATACCATTTTCTTGAAAATGACTTCACACCAAGTGCCATAATTTTACAGGATGCTTTACACTGTCATTAACCAACATCCTAGTGAGGTATTTCGTAAAAACTTGGTAGTTTTATTTGTCGATGTTTGCAAATGTTGTATATTCCCTTTAAGCCATTAGCACTTGTATTACATTGTACTACATTGTATTTACTCTGGGCAGTTTCAGGCAGTACAAGGAGTAACAGGCAAGGCACTTTGGGGCAGAATAGGGACCAATGGGTGAAAGTATTCATTTTCTTATTTGGTGATGGTTACCCCACAGAGTTCGTGGCTGGTAGGGCTGGGAACATAATCTAGAAACTTGTTCCACATTTTCTGTCAAATCCTCGTCTCCAAATTGGTTCTACGCTTTTGCTTGTTTGTTGCTAAATCATTCAAGCAGACAGAAATGGCTTGCATTAGAAAGCAATAACTTGGAGGAGGACACTGATCCCGGCTGTCCTTAAAAATGGCAGGATGGACTGATTTTGAGTTTCAAACTGGTTGCTTGCACCAAGGTCTCCATCTTCACGTTATTGGTCATACCTTTTGCTTGTTTGTTCAAAAGTCATCCAAGCGAAAGAAAAACTGGCTGCCTCATCTGGAAAGTATCACTTTGAACAGAAGGCTGAAGCAAACTCTCTCCTCAAAAATTGCAAAGTTCCATATGTAGTAAACCAATCATGTGTTCCAAGGTCTCCATCTTCGTTTTATTGGTTGTACATTATTGCTCGTTTGTTATCAAAATCATCCAAGCAGATGAAAACTACATCAGAAACTGATAACTGTGAACAGGACACTGAACCTAACTCCTGTAAAACATTCTGAGAAGTTCAGATTTTTAGTTTAAAAGATGGTTGACTCTACAAGGTCTTTCGGTAATTCTGCCAAGCAGGGCTGCAGATTGTCAGCAGCTTTTTACACCAACAAGAACTCAATTCCTCCCATCTGGTCTGAGGAGTATATCTGTGGGGCTTCTGCCTGGGAAAGGCTTCATTATCTTGAGACCTCGCCCACAGCTATCGTGATGCTCCCCGGTTGCCATGGTTACAGTGGCATCTCTTGGATTAAAAACTAAAAAGTTTTAAGATCAAAGTTCCAAAGTAACATCCTGAAATCTAAAATCCAACAAAGAAACAAGAGTTTATGCAACCGATATAAATAAACTCTCTTTTTTTGTGGGTGGGTGGGGAAAAATGTGATGGGCAGTTTTGAAAATGCACAAGGGACATGTTATTTTGTATGTATATGATTTAAAAAACACAATATAGGCCCGGTCACATTACCGGATTTCCCCTAATGGTTATAAACCTTAATTGAATAACCCTGGACACGTCAATCATCATGCAGGCTATAACTGGAATGAATCTGAAAAAAAACCCCAGAAATCAAAGATATAATTAGAAAACATGTATTAAGAAATAAAGATTTGAACAGGATGTGACATCAAGGTGGTTTTTGCGATTAGTCCCATCCCCCGCCCCGTCCACCCAGGTAGAGCACCAGGGAAAAACCAACCAGCCATTTTGTCCCTGAATGCAGTCACGTTCGAGTTCCTGAGCATGATCTATTGATGATGCACATGATTGAGTCCAGCAGTTAAAAAAGAAAGGAGGGACGAGGACAAGGGACACCTCACTCAGGGGTGCTGGGCTGGGAAGCGCATCTTGACTACAGCTGTGTGCATGGAGGAAAAACCAAGGGGGAAACCCCACTTACTTCATGTACTCCCATGTGCAAAACTTGGCACTTCATATCACAGGAAGTCATAGTGTCTAGCCTAGCCGGATGTCAGTCTCTTGTATAATTTGTGGACTGTTGGAGGCACTAGAGTCTACTTATTTTGGGGGAGTTTGCCAATGTTCGATTTTCTTTTTTTAGATAGGGAAGTTTCAAAGTTTAAGTGTTCCAAACTCTCCAAGAAAATGGCATCCACTGTTTTTCGGAGGCGTTTGTTTATGGTGTAAATCTAGGACACACACGTGCAACATCATTGGTGAATCGAGGTCAGAAACCGAATCGAGGACTCCTCAGTTGGAAAACATGTACAAAACCAATAAGAGTTGTTGCAAAAAAGTTAGAGTACAAAACAAACGTGCTAGGTTTTGTGTGTGTTGGGAGGGGGGGGGGGGGCTACATTACATTACAGTAGGAATGGTGGCATATTTATGGATTCTAACGATAGATGCACACATTTCAATATATTTTGACATTCTAAAGTTTGGAGTATACTGGTACACAGTACTTGGACCATGGTGCATGTGTTCTTAATCCTCCATGATAAAACAAATGTTATGTCTTTAAGTTTTTGAGGTGTGGTGCATTGTTTTCAGCAAGAGCTGTATGTTTACATTGTGACTATAACCCTTGCCAAAATTAAGTAGCCCACTAAGAAAGTACAGGCAAAAACAGGCAATGTAATTTTTTTCAGCATGCAAGTTCCCCAACCCCTCGTTTTTTGTTGATTTATAGCTTGACTAGTGTGCCACTTTCCTGGCTACACTTGCCGGGCTGTAGAAGAAAAAAGAACTTAAACAGACAGTTGCCTACAGTCTTTGATAAGAAAAAGAAGCTGAATTCATGGGTGAACACCCACTCAGTAAGCCTTGGGTTCTGGATTTTAATTGGTCTGGGGACATTGGAAAGGGAATTTCTTTTGTTTTTCTTTTTTTCTTTTTTGGCCTCAAGATCACTTATCCACACATTCCTTATCTGAGTAGATCAAGCAAAAGTAACAAGTTCCTGTTAGAAAAAAAATCCAAAGTACCCAAAAGAGTTTCGTGGGTGATCTGTGATGGACTTTACAGAGGATCGAGCCTTGAGCAGGAAAATCAGTATATTGTGTGAGAGTACGGTAATTAACTAAATGGTAAATTGTAGGTTCAAAATTTTCCCGGGGCCAAGTCCCCGGACCCGTTAGCAAGGTGTGCCGAGCCTCAACCCCCTCCTTCCTGAAAGCTAGATCTGCCCTTGGGGGGGGGGGGGGGGAGGCTTGAGAGAGGGGGAAGAAAGATGAAGTTAGCCCACCAAACGTCTTTTTCCTTTATTTCTTACCTCAACCATGGAGCTATAAAAAGGATGCCTCAACCTGTACGCACTACAAATTCACAGCCTGTCCTGGCATAGTTTCTCTCACACTAACACCTGCCAAGCCTTCTCCTCTTAACCCACCTGTCAGTCACAAGCCCTTCCAATCTATCATCTTCATCCCTAGATGATCCCCTCACTTGCAACAGTACCCCTTTACCCAGTCCTTGTGCCCCTCTTGCCACTCCTCGGTCATCCTCCGCTTCCACTAATCACAAGAACTCTCTCACAATCAATCACACCAATCCATACCTACTTCATCAAATGAAAACTGATCCGGTGTGAGACGAAATATTATTCCTCCAACCCGACTGTGCAGTGATGCTCCTGTAAATCATGTAAAACTTGATCCTCAGACTTGTGAACTTTCTTGACTTTGTACTTTTTAATCCTTGATGAATCAACTGATGGACGCGTTTGCCTCGCCAAGTTTCAAGTCTGTTTACTGTTCACCTTCATGTTATGTACACCTGCTTGTAATATTATACTTTTTTAGAATTCCTTGTTACATATATTAACTCTTTGCACTACTGCCTCAAAATGGCGCCCGCTAGAGATGACATGCAATATTTCATACATTGATAATAACGCATAGTTTTAATTTTTTCTAAATTAGGCATTTGATTCCACAATAGAATAAAGTTGCAACAAAGTTGGATAGTACGGTACATTACAATATGTACAGGGTATTTTGGTAAAAACAAATCGTACAACATGCAGTGTATACAGTCGTCTCTCGTTAATATTTATACTCGTTAATATTTATACTGTATAGCCAAACGTTTGTTATATCAGAATTTTGTATTAATAAAGATGAGCAGCAGTCCCGTGCATTGTGCACATACATTGTAAATGAACAGTTAGGATCAACGTTTTATATTCTCTATTTCCAGAATTTGTATTAACAGAGTTTGTATTTTTAACAAGGGTTGACTGTAATAACCATCACTATAGCTCCTAGACTTTCCAGACTTCTATTATAAGATTCAGATGCATTTATTGTTTTGTTTAACTGCGTTACTTTTGTGGTTACGTTTGAGTAGAGAGTCTATTCTCCGAGTCTTTTCAAGTACATGTCTAGGGGATAATTGTCTTGTATGGAGTCATTAGTGTTTAGTTGAACACTTTGCTGGTCACCCAAGTTGTCCATGTTTACCCAATATCTTCCACCACAGTTTCCTTTGTAAATACTTCAGAAAAGCCCAGAGAAAGACTAGCCGTGTTTATTTACCTCCTGGCCAAGGCCTTGGGCAGCCAGAAATAGTGTGCGTATTGTTTGTAGTGTCTGGCTCCAGTGATCAGGGAATGGAAGACCAAATAATAATGGCATGCCCTGCTCAGGAATGTGCCTGTGGAATGATCCTTGCCTGCAGAGCGCCCTCTGTGTGACTTGTATCAGGCAGTGGCAGGCAAAAATGCATGTCGTCTTAATCCCAAGGGTACATCAGGCGCGGTTCTAGAACCAATATTTTGGGGGGGCTAGCAGGGTGGATCCAGAATTTTTTCAGGGAGGCGTGCTGAAATGTAGACCGGTTATTTTCTCCAGACACTTAGGCCTCCGAAAATCAATAGGTGGGGAGCGCCAATAAAATCCTAAAATCATTCACACTATATTAACTACAAATGCACCCTTGTCACGACTATTTCTTTAGGGGGAGACCGTTCACATGTACATATGTACATTTTGTACATCACAATCCTTCTTTTTGCTACTACAATTTTTTTTTTTTTTACAGAATTTATTTTTGGGGGGCTAGACAAAAAATTGGGGGGGGGGGCTAAAGACCCCCCTAGCCCCCCTGTAGAACCGCGCCAGGGGTACATGTACATGTAGTTGCTTCTTTAAATTCATCATCGTCTATAAATTATACTTTGAAAAATTACTTACAGAGTTCCCTCAAGTGTTAATAAAGTGGCAGGTAAAAGTGACAGCGTTCACTTGACCATAGAATCAGTTTCCTTTGAAACAAAACTGAGACAATGCCCAATTGATATTGAGCTGATTGACTCATGCCCATATTAGGTACTATTTATATGTGGTGTTAAAGTGTATAGTGGATGAAATGGATCTTTTACATCTGTAGTTTTAATTTCTTGGCTTGAATTTGTCACGGTATGTATTTCTTAGAGTTCCAATTATGTCCTCCTTTTTGTAATTTCTCGTCTTTGTGCACAGACTGTTGGTCTTCTTACAGAACAACAACAAGGACTTTGTGCATCTTTGTCGGGAGAAGCGAGGAGCGTCCTGGCACACCCTGGACTCGCTGTTACTACTGCCGGTAAGTCACAGGTTTAAAGTTGCTGTGCAGTGTGTGCAACCAATAAAAATTCCAAAAAATGAGTTTTGGAGAACTTGCCACCCTTTCTTTCTTTAATTTCCCTTAAAACTCACAAGGACTGAAGGAGTGTCATGTTCTCCGAAGCCGAAACCCTTTTGTCAATTTAGTAGTGCTGTTTTGATTTTTATTAGTGCTGCCTATTTGTGACTTTTTTTAAGATGGCATGTCATCCCACTTGTCTCCCACGGTCCACCCCACTGAGGCCTGCAGCCTGGGCCTTCCAGCCTACTGAATGTCCACTGGATTCCCACTTTTCCTCTTGTCCTGACCCCTACCGATTGCTTGGATCCCTACCCAGTAGCCAAGGGGATCTGGGCCTCCCATAAATTCCCGGTGTCCCCATTAAAAACAGTAACATTGGCCATATTTATTGGACCAACAGGTCCTTCTTTGGGATACTGGTGGTCCCCCCCCCCCAACCCCTCCCTCCTTGGGCTATCCTGAGCAAAACTTGGCTATGCCTGGTTCTTTGAGGATTTTATGACAGTATTGTCGCTGCCATTCATTTCCTGCATAGAATCATCCATTCAGGAATAAAACAGAGACATCCGAGACAATTGAATTATTGTTAAACCCTCCAACTGTTTACATTCACATCTACAAATGGCACCTATTTTCCTAAGTGCCAAACCACCAGACATGGCAATAAAAGGGAAGGCCTCGAAATCAGCCAAGGCCCTGTTATCATGACATTGATCTCTGCTTTAAATGGCCATAAATCAGCAATTTTTACAGCTAGCCAGGCATTGTCGACTGACCAAGCGGAAAATTATCAGGGTCTTGACACTGCTTTGCTGCACATAAATCATCTGCAGCTCTCTAGCTCTGCTCCAACCCAAGATTAAACTGGGCATGAATTCATAGCGCTGCTTAACAGCTGATTTTGTGCTTACCGAGCCTCCATCTATTTCATAGAACGTAAGCAGTAAGCACATCAAAAGCAAGGAAAAAGTTGCTGAAATCAGTGACGTACATGTAACAACATATCTCAATCCACGCCATGAAATAGCATGATTTTCTGCTGTAGTAAGCACGATTTTTCTGCTAATCTGTTAAGCAGTGCTATGAAATTGGGTCCTGGTTTGTAAGGTTTATTACAGTATACAAATATTGAGTGGCTCAGCGTGGAATGGGAGGAATATTATCGCAAGGTAAAATCTGGACTTTTCCATTTCACGAGGCGAAGCCGAGTGAAATGGAAAAGTCCAGATTTTACCGAGCGATAATATTCCTCCCATTTCACAATTTAAAGCCACTCAATATTTGTTTTATATAACTGACATATAGATCCTTGTCATTTGATATATTTGAACTTTTTTTTTCAATACAAAAATGGAAGAAAATGTATTTCTCTCTTCCGAACCACCCCTTCACGAAAATGTTTGAACCCAACGCTGTAGCGCTGGCTCTTTGGAACAATACGCGCTACGCGCCAACGCTGAACGCGCACACCAGCATGCATTTGCACACAAATACCGTGTCATGATCCTAACTGTTGAATAGTATTTCCCATTCCCCATGGGCGGATAGTACTTTTTGAGCTGTGGCATGAATGTGAGCAATAACGAATGCCACGTGATGTGAGCTCCACCAATCAAATGACAAGGATCTGTATGTCGGTTATATAATAACTAACATTAAGAATAAAGCTTCCGTTGAAATTGTTGGGTGAAAATATCCTTTTAACATGTTTCCCATTTAAGGGAAAGTTTCCTCATGGGTACTCAGTTGTCTCCAGCCATTATTTTGTTCTCCGGCTGGCCAAACTGCGCTGTAAAAGTAACTAGTTTAGTCAGATTTTTCCTGAGAAGAAAAGGGCAGTACGAAGTTGTGAAACACTGCAGGAAACCTGTATACATCTGGCCACAACATGAAAGTCGCACTTGTACAAGCTGTAACGCACTGTGCATGCGTAATGTGTGCTTTCTTCAGCAATGTTTAGAACCGGTCGCAGTATGCCACATATGTGCGCAGTACAATGTATGTGCTGCGCGCTCCGACTACAGCTGGTTGCTTGAGAACCACTGATATGATCTCCATTATTTATAAGGCTAATGAGATGTTGAGCAAACCAACGTGCGATGCATACCATGCAAGTAGCCTGAACATGGCCGGTAAAATTGTTGAACAAAACATCGTCGGAAGATTAACACTGCTTTACCACACTAATATTCCCTTTTTAAAATTGGAGGATTAGGCCTAAGGCTTGAACGACTTTCCAAAATGCGTAAAGGACGTGTACATGAAGGAGGGATGAACACGGATGCATGTATGCCCAGTTCAATAACTAATACCACAGTCAAAAGTTCCGACATCTGAATTATCATCTAAGTCATGGTAAAGTGTCACTATAAATTAGTCAAGTGGGAAGACAGCTCAACAACTTGAAGCCTTTTTGCTTAGCGAGTCCTGGAAAGATCCTCAGCCCCAGGCCCAACGTGTGACTACCATATCGAGATAATGATCACCTTACCCCAGTTCAAGGCTCAGTAATTTGTTTGACCATGAAGATTTTGGCATTGGTCTTTGTCAGAAGTTTGCCGGTGGTTTTGAGGAAAATTAGGTTTCCATCTGTACAATTGGATGAGATTTTTACAGCTTAATCTGTGGTAGAACTAATAAAGTCTAGGTACAGTTAAGTGATTGGTTTTGCTTCAGTGGAATACTGCTCTGGGCACACTCTTTCCAGGTCTAAGTACTTGAATTAGGCTTACCGGTATACTTGCAGATAATCAGGGTTTTTTTGCCTTGCAAGCTTAATGAAAATGGTAATTTACAATTTTATTCAGCTGATCAAGGTTTTGCCCTTCACCTTGCTGCATACTGATTAAGTCCAACTTATGTTCTGCTTTAATTAGTTGGCAACTGCGTGGCACAGATTTCACATTATTTGTGGATGATATCGTGGTGGTTGTCAGTCAAATTTTGCTAATACATGTATTGTTATTAGTGGCAGTATAGTGAGGACTTCAAAACACTCACGATTGGCAGTGTACATGTATACTGAAATAACACGCATCAGCATTAAAAAAAAAAATCGTTCACGCAGGAATGCCCAATACAACAAGATTTCCTGCGAAGGACAAGTAATAATAGAATTTCTCACTGAAAAAAATAAATAAAAATATCTGAGTGACATCGAACTAAAATAGATCACAAGTGGTTTCGTAGTTTATGACTTTTGCCATGGGTCACATTTTCACTTTTGGCCGTTTTTCCTTGGAACAAATTGAAATCTCTGCAACGAGGTTATTTTTGGAACCGGTACCAGTAAAGAAGGTTGAAAGTTAGATTAAATATCAAAGTACGTTTGACTTCTTTATACACAAACTCAAAACCGCTGATAGTCTTGTTAAAAGCCATGACCTGTCCAAACGCCAGCCAATTACAAAAACACAATAACTTATTTAGAACTTTACAACCTTAAATTTAAAGAAGTACCAGTTAATTAGTTGCTATAGTAAGAGTGATCGCAAGCCATGTTTTCGTATCGTTGAATTTACTTTTCAAAGTTTGTTTAGTTAGTATTCATGATTTTACATGTGAAAGAAAATGGACCTACAAAAACCTACTTTTTAAGCAGAAAGTTTGAAGTTAAACAAAAGAAACAGTTTTGTGAAAGAAAATGGACCAACAAAAACCTACTTTTTAAGCAGAAAGTTTGAAGTTAAACAAAAGAAACTTTTTTTTTTTTTTGAAAAGATAAAAAAAAAAAACAGGAAGATATGATTACTGGAACAGGTGTTTGCGAACACTGCTCATTCATCAAAACCATCACTTAATAATGTAAACATGTCCAGTGTTTTCTTGACATACTTTCACTTCTATCTTTTAAGTTTCTATACCAATGTGTCATTGACTGATTAGCCAGCTTGATTTTTGTATTGTGTTACAAGGATGCGGTTGCAAAATCACACAGAGAATGTTTCCCACGCATTCCAGGTTTTGTTATGTTTTCATTTTTGTTGTTTCAGATTCTATATTCATTCTAATTAGACCGACAAATGTGACAAAGTAACACATTCCATCAACTGATCAAAATGGGGTCGTTGCACTCTATTGTGAAATGAACAATATAATATTTGAATACATTTTACATACGCAATGTATAAACTTCCCGAGTTTTCCATTTACAGTCTGTACAATTCGGATAAGAATGAATTCAAAATCAATCAATGTTAATCACTTTGTTGTATACTTTTTCAGTGCATTCAGGGCTATCCGTTTATGTGTATGTGATTCGATCAAGCTACATAAATGTGTCGTTGGCAGGAATTCTGATTTGGAGATTCAGGCCAAAGTAGGGCCACTTCATCACATCACTTCATCACATCTCTTGGTGTTCCGACTTCCATAATTTTTGAACTAAAGTTTTGACCAGGGTCAACACACGACTCATTTAGCTTGATGGCATCACATATGTACATGTACCGTAGTTATCCTTTTTGACACTGAAAGAATTACAGTGTATACTATGAACTGAGGCTATCCTTTAATTTCTTCATAGTAAAAAGATGGTAAATTCCCACAAACACAACGGTGTAAAATTGCAAACGTTTTGTAAAACTTATCCCAACCTGCCAATTTCCACTGCCTCCACTCTGTGATTTCCAACATTTCTCCAAGTTGTCCAATACATCTTCACTCTCCTTTACAATAGGTTGTAGATTATACAACTTTCGTCCAATTAGAATATTGTGAATCACAACTAACTTTAACAAGCCGTTATCAAATTTAAGACAACAATGAGATCTGTTTATCTCTCACAAAATAAAATTTACTCCTAAAATACCCATCAAAAAGGACATCAACCCAATTAAACAACTCCCCAAGAGTTCTTCATAAAATATACTCCATCACGGTAAACTCATCCTTCAAGACTTGCTCCTTTGGCCAGAGTCGCTGGTTAAGCTGTATTAGGTTCGTCACTCCTCTCTCTCTCTGGCTTAGTGACCCCTCGCTGATCAAGTGACACTGTCAAAACAGTCGGCCCTAGTGACTGATGAGTGCGGGTAATGAATCGCTGGAAATCAACCCGATATCATGCTGGGCCCATATTAAAGCCAGAGTCCATCATTTGCAGCTTTCCAAAAAGTAACTGGCGTAATTATTGTTGAATAACTAAACTCCCTGTGAAATTATTCTGCCTGGCAAGCTGACATTTTGAAGAAATCAACGAAAGAAGGCCTTTCCAACGGCGCGTCTAAGAAGCACCGTAGGAAATTTAAATTAGTAGTTTGTTTGTTTTTCCGCAAAGCGCGCGCAAGCATTGGCACGACGCACATGTGCGCGCGGTTGCTATAATTTGGCAGATCAGTGCGCGACATCGCGTATAGCTGCAATTGGCTCTGTGAGAACGTGTCTCGGACGCTGGATTCAGGCCCAACTCAAAACAAGATTCAGCAACTTTTGATTTGAAATCGAGATCCTAGAATGTTGTTTTTCTCGAAAAATGCAGCTGAAGCTCAGCTGAAACTTCATCAGATTGGTTGTTTGGCATCTTTCTTTACATATTGAGCACTTTTGTTGCTTCAAACGAACAAAATGCACAAATTACAAATTTAAATTAAACAAAAATCTTTCAGCCGTTTTCATAATTTCTAACAAATTCCAAAGTAATTTTTTGTTTATAAAAATCTCACTGGGTATCAGCCTGTACCACTATCTACTTGATAGAAATTAAACATCCTGCAAAATTTCACATTTGGCAACCTTTCCCGGAACAAACGGCTCAAACTACCCTTCATAAAGTTTGAACTTTTGACCTTAACCGTCTGAAATATAAAACAAAAAATAAAGAATTCACTAGCGAACGGGGAAATCAATAAGGATGCCAGACTAGAAACTCTAGCTCATTCTTGACTCCAGGGACCACTTGGTAATGTTTCCTTCAAAACAATGCTCCGGGGGACCGCCAGTGTGGGCCCGAAGTGCTTCAATTACAGACATGATTGGACAGATTCAGTTATTGTCTTTTCATATTGCCGATCGGGGACTCCTACACAGAATAAAAGGGAGTTGGTGGATGTACATGTATCAAGTCATTGTCTCGGAAAGACAGGAAACAAACTATTTGTATTGGTGCCAGAAGATTTTAGGGGATTTTAGGGGATTTTTTGGCAAGAATTATTGACGGAAACTGAATCTTGAGTTGATTTGTGGAAGTTTTCATGCTTGGTTGGGGGAATTTTTAGGCTTAAAATAGGTCCTACGTATCGGACAGACTTACATGTAAGGCAGCAAAGCAAAGTAAAGTATTGACAGTGATGTCATCAATTAAAAAACAAAAGGTTTTTAAACTAATGTATGTGACTCTATCAGAAAAAAATGGGGGATTTACGGTACTTTGATATTTGTTGTTGTTATTGTTGTTGTTGTTTTTTGAGGGGGTCAGAGGAAATTTTGGGAGCTACGTTCTACAAGAACGTGACCAAAAACTAGAGGTTTATACATCAAATTATTGATGTTAGCACTGTAAAACAGAAGATAAGTGATCTGGAATCAGGGACAGGGTCTAGTTCTAAGAATTAAAAGAAAGAATCCTTGATCTTACCCCTGAAGCAGCTGAAACTGGAGCTGGTCAGTATCTGGGCTTTGCCCTCAATGTTCCACATCTGCATCCTTGGTATAAGCCACTAATCAAAAGTAAAATATCTTGTTGATCTTGCCCTAAAAATTGTGCCCTTCGGTGAAAGCAAACATTGACCCTTTGGTCGCCACAGATGGGTCATTTATTAGGGACCACTTAGGCTGTGATTTACAAATACCCCCAAGATAACCTGCCAGCTCTGGCCTGTCCAGCCCTGGACCTTGCCCGAACTTGCCGGTCAAATCATGGTCAAATGACATTAACTGCTTGCCAGAAGGAACTTAAAATTCCTGGCTTTGTCGTAAATTAATCCCCACAAACGTGTAGCTGTCACTTAAGGCTAAGATTTTGGTATGTTCACTTGACATTGATTTTTGTTCCCCTTTTCCGAGATAATTCCGGGAGGTCTATGGCCCTCTTAAGGCCAAAGTGGACAAATGTATTTGTGGTACTAGTAAACACTTCCTTGCGTTAACTCAAGTGAAATGGCTTGAAACTTGAAATGGGGTATGACTGGTAAATTACAATTAATTTTCAAAAAATACGTAATTCAAATTGAGAATTCTGATTATTTACGTTGGCTTATTGTTTCCAGGGCTAGTTTGTTTCAAGCTGATGGACATGTATCAGGTCACCATATACATTGCAAAAAGAAAAATTATAAACTTGGTCTAATTCTGAACTTGAACTTACTTAGTCTTTGTAATTTTTTGATGTTGAGATTTTACCACACTGTGTAACTTCAAGTGGTGTAACAATAGAAACCCAACCCCAGAATTCATATTTCGGAAGTTGTCTAAAGAGCTTTATATTTTAGCTTTACGGTGTAAACTCCAACTTTCACGAGCGTCATCTGTCCGCATTAAATGTACACAAACATGAAATCTGTTTTGGTTTTCCCTGTACAAATCTGTATCCCGGTTTTCATTTTGAAAAGTCCCAAAAAATCGTTCATATTCATTGTCTGAGAAGTTACTAAATAATTTTTAAAGTTGGTTACGGCTACCCAGTCCCATAATCTGGAACCAGTTCCCGACATCAGCCTTCAGATTCCCTGGCACCCGGTTCCGATGCACACCGCTTGTTATTTCTCCCAACACAGACGTACCATCCATGAACGTAATATATTTGTTTAAATAAATTATTGGGTTTTGCCTTGTAACACAGATTATGTTGCACTAGTTTAAATGTGCATATAGGTAGTCAGGAACGTATACTCTTTTTTCTCAACACTGTACTTGCCCTACTTTGTATTGCTTATTGTCTCCAAAACAAGTGGTTTCCCATTCAGATAACTATTCCTTCCTCCGTGGTTTAAAGGGAAGATGCAACATTTGCAAACATCAAAAAATACATCTACCAAATTATTAGGAAATATCTTGCTGGACTGTTAGTGAATGACAGTCTAAAGCATCCTGTAAAATCATGGCACCTGGTGTACTGTCATTTTCAAGAAAAGTGGTATTCTGTATCAATTTCCAACGCTGGTCGGCCGACCAGCGTTGGAAAAACCTGGCTTTTTTTCAAATTCTTGCCCCAATTGACCATATTTAGTTCCAAGTCTGCACTTGTTTGCAATCGATTACGTACCTGTGATTGGGTACAAGCCAGCCAGACTGGTTCCCTGACCTTACAATTCCCCAACGTCTAAATATTGCTCAGTTTCATCTTAAATGGAGTCAGGGAACCAGACTACAGGAAAATGATTGTTTTATTGGTTTTTATTGCATCTACGAACCCAAAACCTCAAAAACGTCAGTGTAACAATATTTGCTATAAAATACTACCCCCCCCCCCCAAATCCATCCATTTCTGAAAATTACAACAAAAGCAAATGATGTATATTCCCTTTAAGTAGCTTGGCATGCTTGGCCCAAGATGTAAGTCAGTGTGCTGAACAAGGAAATAGATGAAAAATCTACTCTCACATTAGACAAAATCATTTCCTTCCACTTAACAAAATTGCCAATTAAAAAAAAAATTGTAAACTGGTGTTTCACTTTCCAGGTGCCACTGTTCTTCACAGTTTATTTCTCAGGATGTCACACTGCTGCATGTGCTAGACATGACCTTGAGACCAGACATTAATGACCAATTAGGCCAACGCATTAAGGATGTTATCATCATACAAAGTGTGTAATACAGGATGCTGCACTTCCTTCTTTGCTGTCTGTCAGTGTCACTTGAATAAAAAAAATCTTGGCAGTGTTTTTGGATTTGTCAAAGTAATGAAAGTGAAAGGGAACATCTGGTATTTCCCAATTTTATCTCACATTCAGGGAAATTATTTTCACAAAATAATACATTTTTGTTTTTATTTCATTTTAATATGTATACCGTTTATTATTCAGGGGATTATTTGCTGAATTTTCCACTTGATAATAATGTCCTTAGACCATTTACCTTCCTACAAATTATCCCTTTCAAATTACTACATTCCTCCACTTCAATTCCATTCTTTTTTTTTCTGTGTACAAAAAATTGGAATCCCTTCAGGCATTCTAAATTCCACATGTTATAACCACCAAAAACCCGCTTCCCTGATTCAGCACCTCCGGCATTGGGTGATCCCCCAAATACTAATGGTACAACCTTAGTAGGAGGAGCTACTGCTATCAGTACCAGCATGTCAAGCAGTGATATGTGTACATGTATTGACGTCTGGACTGATACATTCCAAGTTGAAGGGGGTACTACTTACTACTAGCAGGCTGACGCAAATGGTCAATCACAATCAGTGAAATTTGGAGTAAGAAAGCAGGTCATTTGAATCATGTTTGAAGTTAGAGCTTGTCTGGTCTTACAGAGGGGTGTACGTGTACGTACACACTGACTGCTGTTGTGATCAAATTGTGGTTTATGTTGTGGAGTACAGTCATTGTCAACAAAACATTAGCTACAAGTGAAAGAGAAGATGACCATCAGAACCACACAGCCTTTCCTTATTACCACCGGTGGACCATAGATCAAGAGAGTATCTGCACAGGGTCTAGGACTAGACCATCCAGGAAGGATTCTGGCATCACTGTTTATGTCCTCACATGTCCTTGTCACCCACACAGGCAGCAGAGCTGGTGGCAAGGTTTCATTATAAAAACTCATTTCTGGCTGAGTTGTCATCATTACTTCTGTTGTCAGCGGAGGAGGGACATTGTGGAACAGTTCTTGACAACTGGATATGTACAGAAGGACATTTTTTTTTGGTTATGCTTGTACTTGTACATTCGTTCAACTTCATTACATCTGCAGGTGGCAACTCTGTATGAAACTGTGCACACACCAAGCCAAGCAAAAGTCCCATCAAGTTTCAAGATTCCTTCATTTTGAAAGTTCAACTGTGGCGCCCGGTGTCTTCTAAGTTCTACAGTATTCAAGTTTAAGATATTGAGTGGCTGTATAGCGTTCAGAGTGTGCAGTCACTTTTCATTTCGGAGTGCCACAGTTCAAGAGCCCTTCTTCTGTTTTAGACAATGACAGTGATGAAGCAGTGGAGAGCAGCTTGATCATCTCAAGTAAAGAAGTTCTCCAACATTTGAGGAGATTACAGCTTAAGTCCACAGATAAAATTCTGTGGAACGAGGCTATTGAGCTGTTTTTGATGTACTGGTTTGATTAGATTGGAACTCTTGCATTGGATGACTAAAAGCTGCTCAGGAGCCAGTTTTGCACTACATGCGGTTCGATTCTGCCTTGTACTGAGATAAGAGGATTAGGACCAGCCTCATTGATGTTGGCCAGATTTCTTCCTCCAAGCTTCATGATGGAAAAAGTAATAACTCATTAACTTGCACTGAAAGACCAGTTTCCAGTTCTTTCCGGCAGTGTCGCCATCAATTCCTTATCGAATTAAAAAAAGAAAATTGTCAGTGTTATTTATTGGCGAATTTCCAACGATGGCCAAAGACAGCATCCTGGTCACGTCCAAGAAGTCGCGGAAGCGCTCCAAGTCTCTGGACCGGCGCTGGCCACGGCGCAACAAGACGGCCACGGTGCGATTTGCCGACGTGAGCTGCATCGAGATCTCCCAGCCATCCCAACCCAGACGGATGCACTCGTTCTCTGACTGGGAAAGTTGCATGGGTATAAAGGAGTCAGATGGCCCACTTATTAGCCCACCGGTGAGTACAGAATTAATAGGGATGCAGGTGTTAAACACCCCCCCCCCACGGCCCCCGAAAAAACCTCAACAACTGTTTTTCTTACCATGATATAGACTTCAACATCCTGTACAAAAGAATGGACTTCTTGAAGGAATTTTAGTTTGAAGCAATGGAAGGGCTATTGACCAATATTTTCTCCTCTGAAAAATTCTGAGACATTTTAGAATTATTTGTAATTTCCCACAATTTGATGAAATTAAGTATCGGAAGGTCATGAAGGTTGTACCATGGAATTTACATGTAGATAAGAATTTGTAGCCTTGCACACTACTTTATGATTGAACCAACAATTAAAACTGAAGTATGTTAAAAGGTAGGATATTCATCATAACTTTGCCTCCCCACAAATATGATATGAACTAGTCAAAGTCAACGCCAGTGAATACAGTCCTGCAGCCTTGACTTTATTGAGGCTAATGACCCCTCCACTGTGGCCCTGCAATTTGTGATGGGGTAAAGGCCTGCAGTGCCATATGCAGTGGATATGATGTATGGTATTGAGTTTTTGTAGAGTTCACCAAGTTCAGTGGGCACCGCTTTTTTCCAGGCGTGTCAAAGTTTTAGTAGTTTCTCTTTCTTGAATCTGTTTGGTACATCAAAGTGGGAAGTATCGGTGCTCCCCAGAGTCTACAAGACCCCAACTATTTTTGTAAGTCATGGTCCGTGCATGACGCATTCTCTGGGATTTTTCCTGACAAGTGTTTCATATTTCTTGGAAATTGAGGATTCACTGTAGAACTTAGAAGGGAGAAAATGCTGTTAGCATGAATGGTGAAATGATTGTTGGTGGTCCTCCTTGCACATGATACATTAGCTCTGTCTTAATTATAATTGACAGGTTTCAGCACTGTACATGTAATCAGGTTGGAGGAGAGGGAGGAAGTTGGGTGTCGTTTTTTCCATGAAAACCCACATCCTGGTTGGTTCTGGATCCACTTGGATGCACTGATAACAGTGATAACGCCTTCAGGGTTTTATCCTTAGCAGAGACAGGTGTTGTTAATTAATTATATAAGGCTTCCTAAGGCCCAGGGGCCATTGGAGCTACATGTATGGAGAGCTCTACAAGAATTGTGCGAAGGACAGCAAAGTTTGCTTAGAAAAAAAAACACAGATAAACAGGTTACCGCCATAAGGTCATGTAATGTGTACGCTACCAGTGACTGGTTCCCCGCTGAGTTTTGCGTAGCATATACTTGTATAGCAAAATTGCTTGAGTTAATAGCATTTCTATGAAAATGGGCCCTGTTCATTTGTAGTATGAGTATCGTCTTTTGGAGAAACAGGTCAGTGAACTTAAGCAATGATCAAAACATGATTTGGTCGGAAGCTGTGTTATGTTTTCCGTTTTGGATATGGATACATATCATAAGTGTCATCAGCAACTAGAATAGCATCTTTTAATGACTATTTTCAGAGAACTTTGGTTCACTGAAAATGATGTCAAAATGTCAGACCTAAGTAGTTCACTGAACGACGCACGTGTACACCATGTATACACCAATAACCCGTAGAAAACAGCACTGCCTTGATAATTTATTACCTTTATCTCTAGAAATAAACTTGTCAGTTATTCAATCTCGCAGCCTCCCAATGACAGTAAACCAATTGTGCTGGTACCGGTGGTCATAACAGATACTTGTAGTACTTAATTCCTCAGAAATGATAAGTAACTTGATTAGAAATTATTGTTCCATGTGTGAAATTATCGTTCCATGTGTGAAACCAGGATCTGTTTGTTAAATTTTTTAAACTGATTGATTGCCAAAAATTCAACCCCAGGAAAATGTTATCTTTTTTCTTGCTGGACTTGAAGAGTCAGCTTACTGTCCTCTGATTGACTGAGTCGCTGACTGTCGACTCCCCAAGGCAAGCCTAGTCTTGTTTTTAGGAAATGTTTCCATCGCCATTATTTGATGTCTCCTATCAATGTTTGAAGTACTTTTTACTGATAAAGAATGCTGGCTTGTAACCCTCAATGAAGGAAACCTGAAAATGTAATCATGTTTTTTGTCAATGTTACATGTAGTGTTTTATAAAAAAGTAAAAAAAGTATATAAATAATTTACAGAAATAATTGCATCAGTTAAAGCCCCAGTCTCAACTTTGGGAATTTCCCTATTTTGCCATTATTTTGGTAATAAAGTTGACATGTGAAAAAATCATACCAAAATGTAATCCCCTTAGAAATTAAAAACTAACAGTCCCCTGACGAAACGTTAGTGAGAAATTGAATTCCATATTTACATAGACACCTCTAGTTTAACTTGAATTTAATAACAGTCACAAGCCATTGCACGGTCTTCACCACCATCATGATTCAATCATCGGAAATAATATCGATGTGCCTGTATCTACATGCATTGTACTGTACACAAGCATTTATATTTACGACCCAACCAATTTCATTTTTTCCTGGTACTTTGACTTCAAATTGTTAAAGGGAAAATACAACATTTGCAAACATCAAAAAATGAAATGATCAAATTACCACGAAATACCTTACTGAATTGTTAGGGACTGACAGTCTAAAGCATCCTTTAAAATCGTGGCTCCTGGTGGGCTGACATTTTCAAGAAAACTATATTTTTCCAACGCTGGTCGGCCGACCAGCGTTGGAGAAAACTGGCTTTTTTTCAAAAACTGTTCTTAATTTTTCATATTTAGTTATTCTGACTTTTCTTTGCAATTGATCACACACCTGTGAAGGGGTACGTACAAGCCTGCTAGACTGATTCTCTGACCTTACAATTCCCCAGAGTGTATTAATTGCTTCGTTTCATCTGAAGTGGGGTCAGGGAACCAGACTACAAAAACATGATAGGTTTTCTTGGTTTTTCCAGCATCTACAAGCCCAAAACACGAAACGAGTCAGTTTAACAATATTTTATAACATACTAATCCTCCAAATCCATTTATTTCTGAAAATTGCAGCAAAAGCAAATGTTGTATATTCCCTTTAAAAAAAACCTACATTTGCAGCACGCGTGCAATTCCTCAAGTAGAACTAAAACCGACAGTCCAGCACCCTAATGAACATAAGAAAATTTGATTGCGTTGGGTGACTGTCGCAACCGCACAGAGGCCACGGGGTCGCGGCAACCCACGGGGACCCATGCGGTGTGGGGCGGGGTAAAGAATCAGGGTGTCTTGCAGGGAAAGAACCTTGTAAAAACAGATTTTCTTGTCGGGGTCCCGTCTCAGTCCATTAGGACCCAAATCGTGTTTGTCATCTCCTCGGTAAATATAGTATTACCCTTTTTCTTTGGCATCAAACTGTGATACGACTTGTTCTTGAGTTCAAGTGTGTTTTTATAGATATGATGTCAGGTGTAAAAAAAAAGTTTGTCTTGCGTCATTGAGAAATGGCAAAAAGTATTAATAAGAACATGTAGCGGGACATTGTGTATACTTCTCCATATATTGAGTGTAGGTCAACATAAATCAGGGATGAATGTTCTGCAATTACATGATTCTTTTTCACCTTGTAAATAACATTTCTGGACATGCCATATTCCATACTTTTCTTACATCTCACTGAAATCTTTGTATAGATTTTCATGGTTTTTTTTATGGGAGGGTTTGGTGATTGGCCAATACATGTATATAAATTTTCGGTTATAAAAATCGGTTACTCACGTTACGAAAATGTAACGTGAGTAACCAATTTCGTGCGTCTTGTTTATCATACATAACACATTTTTCTGGATGTCATCTTTGGTGCTTAGGTACCGGTAGGTCTAGGTCTACTCTATCTACCATGGGGATAACAGTTATTAAACCTTTTCAGTAAGGTAATTACAGCCCAAGGAAACTCAAAAGTACATCAAAAATGTAACGTGAGTAACCGTCGAATTGCCCATATTCAGTATATCTTGTGTTCATACGTGACATTTTCAGTTGAATTTGTAGTCTACGATGATTGGTGATTATAGATTTTGGTCATGCTTACATGTATATTACCAATTGATTGATAATCGTAGAATTTTATTTTGGATTAAATGTCCACCAGGGCAGTTCACTGAGTTCAGCCAACGTTCAGCTTTTGCCTCAGAAGTTTATCTAACATGCTAGCCTTTCATCTCTGTAAGGAATGCACATTCATTTATACTGCATTCAATCCAATATAAACATTTTTGGTGATCACCGCAGGATTTTATGTGTCATAGCCGACTGATTTGTGTGGGTTACCGGGAAATCATTGACGGTGAACAGCTGGGAGTGGTTAATGTTTCCCTCGGAAGGATTGCTGTGGTTCCTCAAGTCATTACAAGACTCTCCTTGTTCCATCTAGAGAAAAACAGACCATAAAAATATCTGATTCAGCTTCCAAATATCTCCTGTTGCTCATCCGATGAAAGGTTTCCCTAGTTGGAGAAGACTTTGACTCCTGTTTTGTAAATGCTGTGGGCAGATGCTAATCCTTCATGTTGATGGTTTCGAAAGAGTCCTTTCGGTTCAACTTCAGTTCATAGTTATTTTAAATGACTCAAGTCAAAGGAAATACTATTGTGCTTAGTTTGAATGACATACTGCAGCAGCTGCTGGAGGAAATGAAAAGAGATCGTTGAGCAAGTGATGTTGGTAATAATGTTGCGAAAGAATTCAAAGCTAGGGAAAGTTTGCAAACTGTCTGACTCTCTTGCAAATGTGAATCCATGATACGATTTCAGGTTTGTTCATTAATAAGGCTTTTTCATTTATAATAATTGTGAGTATGTGTGTGTGAACTTGTGAAGCAAATGTGATACCATGAAACTTTATCGGTGGAATTTGCTGGAATTGAAATTTTCTACTTTGTTGAGTTGGCTTCCAAGTTTCAAGTTGATTCAAAAAGTCAAGTTGAATTTTCAGTTTAATTTTTAAGATGAAAATTCCCTTTTTTTCTTTCAAATTAAATCAAAGTTCAAATTGACTTTTCAAGTCCAAATTGACTTTCCAAAAGTCTCAAGGTGATG